ATCTACGGTTTTCTCGTTGAAATTTTTAAAGATCTCTTAACGCAGAAACGCAGAATGGTCCATAGAAGAGGCTGGCACAGATAAAATTGGCTTTTCATAGACATCTGACCGTATTCATTTCCCCGTATGTACATTCCCACGTCTGCCGTTTCACCGTACGTTTAATTTTCAAAAATGTGATTCTTTTATTCTGTACTATTTTCATTTTTGACATTTTTTTTTCTCTGAACCTATTGAAAAACTATTTTCTGCTCAAAAAACTAAAATATTTATGTAACTTGGAAATTGAACTTGTTAGCTTATAGTAACTTAAACTTTTTTTTGTTAATATCACACTTGCATTTCCAGGTTTAAAGTAATTCCTTTTAGGTAATCCTCTAAAGTGTAGGAACAATACTCTGACACAATTCTTTTAATATTCGCGCAAACATCTTATGTTTTTTTATTCGTAGCTGTTTTCTGACCCCCTATTAACTGGCTCAATTTGATTGATGAAAGATTTTCTTCCTTTTTAAAAGCATCAATGAATTTCCATATATTTGCATGAACCGCTGAAATTATAGATGAAAAAAGGCCCTGTGCCAGCCTTCAACTGAATTATTGACTTCTCGAAGACTCCATTTAAGCTTCATAACGTTTGAGTACTAAGCTTTTGTAACCCATAGCAGCATTGAAGCTCTAACTTAGCCTCACCTAACCTGTTCTAGCCTAGTCCAACTATATACAACCCCATCGCAGCATTAGTGTGTGTGTAGACGGACACAATTTATATTTATTGAAAACACCATGAGGATCAGTAATAATTACTGCATTGTAGTTCTATCCTATCCTAACCTATCCTAATCTATCCTAACCTAGTGAAGCCATATACAAGCGCAGCGCAGTATTGGCCTGTGTGTGATTGCACTCGCTTCTCGAGGAAATATCTTCTTTAGATAAGTGTCTGTCAAGGAAGTATCTTTGGAACAAGTGTCCCAATACATGAAACTTCTCTATATTCAGTTTTCCACATTAAAAAAAAAAGCATATTTTTAATAACTTTCTGTCTGTTAGTCTAAAGTGTTTGGCAGAAACATAGTTATGACTCATAATCGGACAGGAGAAGGACGACACGCATTTGATATCTTTCTTTATATAACAAAAACAATTGAAACTAATAACTGTTCATGTTCTTGACTTATTTAATTGATACAAAAATATATTTCTTCTATTTGTATTTTCAGTTTTTACATTTCCTTTCTTTGAATCCATTAATAATTATTTCGTCTCTGAAAAACTAAAACATTTATGTGCTTTTGAGTTGAATGTTAATACTTATAATTTCTCGTTTAATTTTCAAAAATGTGATTCTTTTATTCTGTACTATTTTCATTTTTGACATTTTTTTTTCTCTGAACCTATTGAAAAACTATTTTCTGCTCGAAAAACTAAAATATTTATGTAACTTGGAAATTGAACTTGTTAGCTTATAGTAACTTAAACTTTTTTTTGTTAATATCACACTTGCATTTCCAGGTTTAAAGTAATTCCTTTTAGGTAATCCTCTAAAGTGTAGGAACAATACTCTGACACAATTCTTTTAATATTCGCGCAAACATCTTATGTTTTTTTATTCGTAGCTGTTTTCTGACCCCCTATTAACTGGCTCAATTTGATTGATGAAAGATTTTCTTCCTTTTTAAAAGCATCAATGAATTTCCATATATTTGCATGAACCGCTGAAATTATAGATGAAAAAAGGCCCTGTGCCAGCCTTCAACTGAATTATT